CATGCATCACATCATCAGTACACATGAAAAGGCGACCGTGGCGTCGGCCTTTAGCTTCAGCTTCGGCTTCAGCTTCGGCTTCGGGCACACGGCAGCAGTCTGTTTGACAAGCGGTCCGGCCGGAGATGTTCATGACTCCGTCCGAAATGTTCATGACTCCGTCCGAAATGTTCATGACTCCGTCCGAAATGTTCATGACTCCGTCCGAAATGTTCATGATTCTCCACGCCCCGATACAACAAAGGCACAGGCGAGCGACACGCCTCATTTGGCCTTCTTGCTGGTCTTCTTGCCGAGGGCCGCCTCGCGCTTCTTGGCCTCCTTGGCGTCAATCTCGGCCTTGCGAGCGGCCTCCTGCGCCTCGCGCTCCTCCTTTTCGGCCTGCATCCTGTTAGTCTGCTGTCCTCAAGGAAAAGAAGAACGAGGAGAGAAACGTACGGCCCGACGTGCGCCCTCGGCCGCGCGCTGCTCGCGGATGAGCTTCAGACGCGCCATGTCGGCCTTGGCCTCGTCCGTCTTGCCGGCCTCGTGCAGACGCCTGTACTTCTCCTTGGCGACGAGGGCCTCGGCGCTCTCGCGCTCCTTGCGGTTCGCGGCGCCGCCGGCGCTGAGCCCCTTGACGCCGTCGGTGACGTCGTCGACGCCGGCGTCGCCGCTCTTGGCGGTCGCGGCCTTGGTCTGGTTGCGCGCGGCCTTGGAGTGGTTCGGGTTGGCGGGCATGTCGTCGTCATCGTCGTCCGACTCGTCCTCTTCCGAGTCGCTGGGCGGCATGTCGCCGACCTCGACGGCCTGGGCCTTCTTCTTGGCAATGGCGGCGTCCTTGCGGGCCTTGGCCAGCTTCTTGCGCTCCTCGCGCGACACGGGGCCCTTGTCCTCGGCGGCCGAGTCGTCCTCGTCGTCGTCCTCTTCGTCGTCCTCCTCTTCCTCCTCTTCGTCTGAGGACGCGTTGGCGCTGCCCTTTTCTTTGGCGCCGGCGGCCCACATGCTGATTTCGTTGCCTTCCGAGTCGACGGGGCGCAGGTCGCGGGAGAAGTGCTTGCCGCCTTGGTCTGTTAGCGTGGTCTGGAGCCTTTTCGGTTCGAAGCAATGTCTGGTGCAGTTTGGTGCAGGCTGGATGGTCGGGACGTCAGGTTACGTACCACCACGAGTGTACTTCTTGAACTTGCCACCGCGGCCGCGGGAGTTACCACCGGGAGCACCACCAGCCATGATGTGTCGTGTGAGTGGGGAAGGGAGAGGAGAGCGTGTAAAGGAAGAGAGAGGAGAGCGTGTAAAGGAAGAGAGAGGAGAAAGCGTGTGAAGGAAAGGAGATGATCAAGGGCTGTTCGCTGGTGTGCGGTGCTGCTGTGGCAGAGGTGCAAGGCAGAGGTGCAAGGCAGAGGCAGACGGAAGAGACTGCGGGGTCGTTGAAGTGGGATGTTTGGTGTTTTGGGTGGTGGCGGGGTATCGGCGGTGGGATGGAGGGGCAGAAGGGTCCGGCCAGTGACAAGCACGAGGAGCAGGGCAGCTTGGCAGGGTGGGCTATATGAAGATGCTTGAATGATATTTGTATGCTTGATGGCGATGAAGATGGCTGAATGGTATTTGTATGATTGATGGCTATATGAACATGGTTGTATGATAGTTGTCGATAGTTGCAACTTGTAATCACAGCACCGTCAGGACGCAGGCCGGTGACTCGAGCAGCGCGTCCTCGTTCAGGCAGAAATCACGGTCACGGCAAGAGGCAGCACGCAGCACGCAGCACCTGCCTGTGCATGCACTGCTCTTGCCTCTGCCTACCTCTGGACGTGCACTGCTCTTGCCTCTGCTGTCCATGCACTGCTCTGCCCTGCCCCTGCCATCGTGCTCACTGCTCCTGCCCTCAGGCTCCCTGCCCCCTAGTCGACGCCCCTCGAAGCCCCTCAGTGGAAAGTGCCAATGCCGTTTCTTACTGGAGGCACGACATGCCGAAGGCCCCGCTCTCTGCTGGTTTTTAGGCCTCGCTTCATTGGCTCGACCCAAGCATCCACACACCCAGCGCCGCCGTTCCTGGCGGTGCCTTGGTTGCTTGGGTGCCAGAGCTTGCCAGGGTGCTTGAGGTTTGGGGCTTGGGTGCCTTTTGGGTCCAACTGCAGAGACAACGAGTCTCTGGCGGTGACAAGGGCTCGAGACATCTCTGCAGCCCAGTCATCCCAATCATTCCCTCCCAATCATTTCATTCGGCCTGATGTGTGCTGCGAGCGATGAGTGCCTGGGGTTGGGTCGTCATGCTGGATACGGGCCGACGTGGTCTGTCATCTGTCCGCCATGGCTGGCGTCTACGTAGGGTTCGTAGTGGTGCAATCCACACAGGTCAAGTGTGAGGCTGGTCCTGGCTGGCTCGATGATCCATGAGTCACAGTCAACAGCAGAAAGAAAGGAACAAAAAAGTTTACAAAATCTAGCGAAGCTGTGCTGCGGTAGTGACATCCTTCCGACCGGAGTCGAGCCGGTGACCTTTCGATTGGAAGTGAAGACCAGTTACAGTCGAACGTGATGAACCAACTACACTACGGAAGGATTTGCTGGGGCTGCCATCTTCCTGTGCCTTGAAGAATCGCGAGATGACACACCGTCCCCCCCCCCCCCCCCCCCAAGCCCCCTTGGCCAAGGCCCCCAACCCCAAAAAACGGCTGACTCATCTCGGATCGGCGCCGATGCCCCGAAAAACGAAATCCGCCCCGCAGCAGCAAGAAACAAAACCGCGCCGCAGCCGTCGCGCTTTTCCCGTTTTTTCTCCTTTTCCTCTTCTTCATCATAAAACACAACTCCCCTCTATTCACTCTAGCTTTCATTCCACCATGATTGCCTGGAGGGGAAACGAGGGGATAGACGAATGCTGGTCTTTACGTTCTCTTACCCTCTGGCCCGTGGCAGCTTTTTTTGCTGTGTTGGTGCTCAGAGAAATTTTTCGAACGGCACATCCTGATGAAGAGTGACGCATGGGCGTGGGCGTGGCCCGGAGGGGCGTGGGCCGTAAAGGCCTGTTGCTGCCTGCTTGTTGCTGCCTCTCATGTGGCGTTGTCGCATTTCGTCTCACGATCCGCGTGCTACCTTACTGTCAGTAAAACAAGGCGTCTCGACGTGACTGGGCATGTCCGTCGATTCTGATCGAGCCAGCTCTCATGACAGCTGGTAGTTGGCAGCAGTGCTGGTGTCCAGCCGCCAGCTGTCAAACTGGCCAATGCGATGCATGTCGTCTGGGCTCACCAGCTTTTGCAAATCAGGTCTGGCAGCCATGTCCTCCCTTGTCATGACACCAGTTCAGGCGTTTCGGTTCAAGTTCGAAAGTCAAGCCTGGACCGGTCCTCGCAGATGCCCTGGCTTGCCTGGCAGTAATAGCATCGGGCTTGCCAACCGACCCTTGAACTCACCGGATCAATTCTCCCCAAGCTTATCTTCATCGTATCTGGCAACCCGCTGTGGCATCCCAGGCAGGTACCTGGCAGACCCTGAGGCCATGTCATGGTCACGGTCATCATCAGGTGGTCGCAGAGATATTCATCTCTCTAGAACAGGCTGAATCGGGAGCTTTGCCGCTGCTATCATTGCATCAGCCAACGCGGATGATATAATACAGTACAGGCGGCGCTCCTCAACGGCTCCCATTCCTGGTGATCACTGCACTGAACATGGAGTGCCAGTTTATCCACATGTCACATAGGTGACCATTGCCAAGGCGGTTGCCAACGGCGTACGCCTTGTCCACCAGCTTGCTAAGAACAAAGCTACGATCTGCCAAAGGTCACGGATGAACAGCTCACATCATGCTCACTCGTAGTGACTAAGCCTGTCATTGAAGCTCTCCAGTGATTCTCGTGAACTAGATGTCAAGCAAGTGCCCCCTCACAAACTCTCATGTGCATGGTCCCGATCCGGCAGAACAGATCACATGACTATTGGCGAAGAAAGGACAACCCTCTTCAGCCTTGGAAAGCCCTGCCACAGAATCATTGGCAGTGAGTCCGTCTCAAGTGCGCCACTAGTGCATCTTGCAGTGAAATCCGGAAGGTGCTGGCGCGGCGCCGGGCAGGTGGGGCCGAAAACCCGGCAGTCACGAACGACGAAGCCAGTAATATCGGTGCCTACCGGAACGGTATTTATTCCGGCTCCGGCTCCCCCCCTCCGGCCTTCTTTCTTCTCCATCCACACCACATCGACAAAGACCATGGCCGCTCAGATGAACCGCCAGCTCCCCTCGACCTCGTCCCCGTCCCCATCCCCGTCCCCATCCCCGTCCCCGTCTCGCCCTCGTGGCAATGTCTGCCGCACCTGCAGACAGACACTGACCCTCCCGCCGCCCGTCGCAGCCGTGCTCGCCTCGGGTCCCTTCGTCGTAGCCCATCCGTCCATCAGCCGCACAACGCGCCGCTGCCAGAACTGCGACGCCGACCGAGCGCGCAGCATGGCGGGACCGATCCTCGCGCAGCTCCACAACGCCGACAACAAGATTGTGCGCCTCAAGCGCGAGCACCACCACCTCGACGTCACGGTGAAGCTGCTCGTGCGGTTCCTCCCGCGCCATCCGCGCGACGACCTCGACGGCCACTCGCTCCTCATCCGCAAGCAGACGACGCGCGACTGCAAGCACACGGAGCTCGTCCTCTCGGTCGCCTGCGCCAAGGTCCTCCTCAGCGACGCCTGGGCCGAGTACTGGGCCATCTGGGGCTGCGCCGGCACGAGCCACGACACGGCCGTCCGCGCGTGCGACTAGGAGTTCATGCGCGAGGACTGGATGCTCGAGACGACGGACGCCGAGGACGCCGAGCGCCACGCCGTCGACGAGATGCTCTACGTCGCCATGGCCGCCATCCGTGCCCGCGCCACCCGCGAGGACCAGACCTTCGACCTGCTCGAGCCCGTCGACGTCAACGCCCGCGACCCCGCCTGGATCGCCCGCCGCGCCTGCTGCGTGCGCCTCGCCAACGAGTTCGCCGCCGCCTGGGACCGCGACCACGACGATGCCGCCTCCGCCGGCACCGGCACCAGCACCAGCACCAGCACCAGCCGCCGCACCGGCCAGACGCCCTTTGACCGCCTTCACCTCAAGCGGACAGTGGGCCGGCCGCCGCGCCCAGCCGCTTCGCGAGGAGGACCCGCGCCACCCCGGCGTCGGACCCCACGACCACCTGTACACCCAGGACAGCCGCGACCAGGAGGCCGTGCTCGACCGCGTCATCGCCGCGCAGGACCGCGCGCGCAACGCCGAGCGGGAGCGACGCCGCCTCTACGGACCAAACGGACACCACCCTGACGACGCTGGAGGCAGCAACGGCGGCTATCCTTTCAGCGACTATTGCGCTTGGTGATGGTGGCTGATTCTGCGCTGGTGATGGTGGCACCTTGCAGGTCGCAGGAGATGACTTCTTCGGCCACTGTTTGCGGCAGCGAGACGACTCGGATTGGTTTGTTTGGGCGTTCAGGCGGAATCAGCATCAGGGATCCGTACACGAAATGATCCCACATGGATGCGACAGCTTGCAAGCAATGACTTCGGAAATCACCAAATCAAAAAATGCTTGCAAGGAATTACTTTGGAAGTCACCAAATCGAAAAAATCAAAAAATGCTTGCAAAGAATGACGTCGGAAAATAACAAGCGATGTTCCGCTCGACATCAACGGAACGGAACGGAACAACTCAACTCAGTCAAGGACACAAGGGATCACAAGGACAAACTCGAATAACAAAACACAAGGGGATCACAAGGACAGAACTCAAAAAAAAAAAAAAAAAAAAAAAAAAAAAAAAAAAAAACAAGGTCACAACGGAATCAGTAACGCCAAGCTCAAGGCCGAGGAAGGGTTTGCTCAATACTGCAGTGTAGTACAATTCACCCCCTCACATCACCATGCTTCATCCCGTGACAATCTGCCGTGAACCTTGACCTCTGACCTGACCGCCGTGCATCCCCGTCTACCAGTCCTCAACAGTACAGTAGGCCCAGCTGTCGGCGTCCGAATCCACGTCCGGAAAGCAGTCGACGTCCGGCCCCTGCTCCATCGGCCCCTGCTCAATCGACCCCTCAGAGTCATAGGCATAGTCACCCGTCGGGTACATATCAGCGACGGGCCCATGCTCGCCTCCAGTCCACCTTTCGACAAACGCGCAGAGCTGCGGCGACGCTTCGGAGCGGGGAACAGCGCCGTCAGGCCAGAGCTGGCCGCGAAGGGTAGCCACGGCACGCACAACGGCGCGCCTCTTGGTAGACCAGGGCTCAAAGTAATGGACGTCGGCCTCCTCGACGACGACCGGCTGAAGCGGCTCGAGCCTGGCGGCGTCGTCCAAGGCCACGATGCCCGCCGTGACAAAGAGCCTCATGAGCGCGGCTCGAACGGATCGTTCGGCGATCGCCGCGGCGGCTTCCGTCGACTTGATGTCGTCGAGGGAAATGACAACATCAAAGCACGTGCCGGCCTGTGTCGGGCGGGGGCTGAACCGCAGAGGTCCCTCGAACACGTCAGAGCGCTCGCGGTTCTGCGTCGACGGGTCCATCACGCCTGTCTCCTGTTCGGGCACAGCGCTGTCCTCCGTGCCGCCTGATTGCTCAAACTGCCGCAGCAACTCTTCCACGACACTTTTCGCGAGCCTCTCGCCGCGGCTGGGACGGGCACGCGCCAGGCTCTTGAGCACGAGAGGGGAGACCATGATGTACGGCTCGACGCCGCGCTCCTCGTCGCCGTCCATGCGGTCCATGTCGCCAAGGATGTGGGCAAGCATCCGCAGGCCCTCCCCGAACGAAAGGTCTCGCATATAGCGACTATACCTGCCCACAAGCCGCGGCAGTCGGTCGAGGTGCATATTATGAGCCTGTTCCTCTTGCTCGTGATTCAGGTCCTGGAGCTCCTTGAACTGCTGCTGCCGACGATGCTGCCGCTTCATGTGACACGGTATCGCCGCGGCGCGCTCGACGCAGAGCTTCCAGTAGGCGGCCATGGCCTCCATTGTCGTGAGGCCCTTGATGCCGTGGCGCAGGAAGTCGTGCTGCGTCTCGATGGCGGCCAGGCTGGTGATGTCCTCGTTGAACATTTCGAGCTCCTCCGCGTAGAGCTTCTCGCCTTCGCAGCCTTCGCTCTTGGCTCTGCTGCTGAAGGCTTGCCAGTGGTCGTTGTGGATGCGCTTCTTGAGGAACGAGAACCGTGTCCAGTAGGCGGCCTCGAGCTTGCGATAGATGATGTGGTTGGGCTGGATTGTCAGAGTAGCAGCCATGGGAGTAGCAGCCATAGGAGCAGCAGCCGTAGGGGCCGCAGGTGCATGCTGGCCGAGTGTGTTCGGACCTGGGGTGTGCAAGCTCAGGGACGAGTGGACAAAGGACGTCTTCATATCAATGGGCGCCACGGCCAACGTCGAGCCAGACTCGCCAGGCTGACGAGTCGGCAGAGAGGTTTCATTCAGCGATGGCTGGGTCTCGACATCAGTCGGACCGGAACTCAGGGGGTGTCGCGGGGACGGCGAGGGCACAGGCTTCCTGGGAATGTGATGCGGCTGACGGGCCGTGTTGGGTTTGCCAGTGGCCGCATCGCCGAGCTGCTCCATCATTTGGGCGGCCGACGAGTTGATCTGCGTTCGCAGGAGCAGCAGTTTGTGCAGGGCCGCTGTGTCCTTGATGCTTTTTTGCGACGCCATTCTCTTTTGGATGATTTCGTTCATGGTCTTCTCGAGCTCGCTGAAGCGCCTTTTCAGCGCCACGACTTGCAGTCCCACATCTATACCAGACAGAGGTGTGGACGATCCCTCGTGAGCGGGCATGATGAGCTGGCTGCAGGGCTCGAGTCGGTTGATTTGAAGTAGGCTGGTACGGAACGATTGTATGCGACGTGTGGTGTGGGCGGTGACGTGCAAGCAGGAGACGCCTCGGACGGGGGCAGCCCTCTGCTATGTAGACAGACGTCTGCCGTCTCCGACAGGTCGTGTGCGGCGCATAGAACTTTGCGAGCCAGAGCTTAATGCAAACGGTTGGGCTTGACATGGAAGGCTGCCAGCATGCAGCGACCTGTTGGGCCGACCATGAACTTTCGTCCACGAACTTTGGCCCGCGAACCTTGCTGGCTGGCCAGCCTGACAACAGCGCGCACCAGCACGCACCAATCTCACGACCTCATGAAAGACTCCAATAGCTCGTCCATGCGCATGCGCTTCCTCCGCCGCAGAGGCAAGCCCGTCTCCACCGTCGAGGTTTGGGCCCTGGGCTTCATGAACCCCGCCGCCTCCTGGTGCCGCTTGCTCGTGGTTCCCGTGGTTCCCTCGCCCGCGACGGCGGCGGCAGCGTCCCCCGTGCGGTAGAAGGTGTAGCGCGACGTGGCGAACAGCCCGCGGCTGACATGGGCCACGGCGGGCGAGATGCCGGCCCTGTCGCTGTGGCCGAGCTGCAGGCAGGCCATTGGCTTGGGGGGGAGCAGCAGGTTGCCCGACAGGGCGTGCCTGGGCTGCTCGTCTGAGCATTTGTCTCGTCTGGGCTGCCTGTCTGGGGAATTGTCCTGCGTGGGCTGCTTGTCTGAGCATTTGTCTTGTCTTGGCTGCTTGTCTGAGCATTTGTCCTGCCTGGTCTGCTCGTCCGACGATTTATCCTGCCCGGTCTGCCCGTCCGAAGAATCATCCCGCCCCTCAAGCCCCCCCCGCGCTCGGTCCAGCTGCTCAAGAAAAGCGCACAGGAAAAACGCCCACGTCTCAAAGGGAAACCGCCTGCAGGTCCGGAGGTCATACGACGGCGCATCCAGGTACAGCGAGCGGTCCGCGCGCGCCGCGTCGGCGAGGGCGTCGAGGAACGGCGGCGGCGGCTCGTCAGCGACGAAGCGGAGCGGCTGGCGCGCGTCGTGGCCGAAGCGCAGCAGGCCGTCGTCGATGCCGCGCGCGAACTCCTTCAGCGGGACGCCGGGGGCCTGGTCCTGCGCCTGCGCCGTTTTGTCTCCCTCGAGTGACGCGATCAGGTTGAGGTACAGACCAGCGAGTCGTGTAAGTTTTTAATTTGTAATTGATATCCAACCATAGTGATTGGCTTAGTGCTTAGGT